TTGTGGGAAGTTTGGCCCAATTTTATCATTGATGGGGTTCAGAATGCTATTCGATTGTAGGTGAACTATAAATCCCAGCAACTACAACTCCCAAAAGTCAAGGTCTATTTTCCCCAAACTCCACCAGCGTTCACATTTGGGCATATTGAGTATTTGTGCCAAGTTTGGTCCAGATCCATCGTTGTTTGAGTCCACAGGGCTTTCTGGATGTAGGTGAACTACAACTCCCAAACTCAAGGTCAATGCACACCAAACCCTTCCAGTATTTTCTGTTGGTCATGGGAGTTCAATTTTATCATTGCCTGGGGACATCCTCTGTTTGAGAGGTGTTAACTGGCACTTGATTGCTTACTGTCTGGAGTTCTGTTACAGAGTGACATTCATTATTGACTGTCTCGATCATTGTGTTTTTTTTTCTTTTTGTTTTTGTTCCCAGTATTTAAAAACACCAGAATCAAGAGAATAAATAATAAGCACCACTCACAAACTGGAGAACTCCAGACACCAAACAATCAAGTGCCAGTTAACACCTCCCAGAGGATGCCTCCAGCCATCAGAGGCCAGGCTACCTCTATACAGTTACCCTCACTGATTGACTTTGCACCTTTATGACTACTCAGTACTATACTGATGATGTTGTATAATGTTTTAAAATGATTTTATTGTGAATTGTAATTTTTATGGTATTATGGCTGTTAGCATCCTCCGATGCTCATGTGATGGCGCGCTGAGTCCCCCTTGTGGGGAAAAGGGAGGGATATACATATATGAAATAATAAAATAATAATAAATACAAGCTTGCTAATTGCAACATCACACTTGCTTTAAACAGACAAGGGTTCTTTCTTCCAGAAATATATATCTATATATATAAAAATACTCTGTTCGTTTTGAGTGACACCTTAACTCAAAATCTGCTGGACGAATTGCCGCCTTATTTGGCCACAAGACACCTACTAACCCAAAGAGTGACCATCACTCAAAAAAAATATATGATATTGTCATTTGGGAGTGGTAGTTGCTGGGATTTATAGTTCACCTACAATCAAAGAGCATTTTGAATTCTAATGAAGAAATTGAACCAAACTTGGCACACAGGACTCCCATGACCAACAGTAAACACTAGAAGAGTTGGTGAGCATTGCAGAAGAGTTTGGTGAGCATTGACCTTGAGTTTTGGAGTTGTAGTTCACCTACATCCAGAGAACACTGTGGACTCAAACAATGAAGGATCTAGACCAAGCTTGGCACGAATACTCCATATGGCCAAATATGAACACAGATCCAGTTTGGGGGAAATAGACCTTGACATTTGGTAGTTACTTGGATTGATAGTTCACCTACAATCAAAGAGCATTCTGAACCCCACCAATGATAGAATTGGGCCAAACCTCCCACACAGAACTCCCATGACCAACAGAAATTACTGAGTTTTCTGGTGGTCTTTGGCAACCCTTCTGACACCCCCTCACAACATCCCCATGTTGAGAAATGCTGCCTTAAGGCCATCCAGTCTAACTCCCTTCACCAGGGGCAAGAAAACATAATCAAAGCCCTCCTGACAAAGAGCCATCCAGCCATAGAAATAGTTAGATATGATTCCCCCCCCCATATGTATATGACAGATAATAGTATCATAGATTTGAAAGGGACCCCTAAAGAAAGTCAATTATATGTTGAATGTTCCAGAGTAGGCAAACTAGACAATCTCTACATCAACACTGACAAAGAAACAGCAAGAAATACTGTTTACCCACAATCATAAAGAAATTACATGTATTAGAAAGCAACACTTTCTCGTTGCTTTATTTTCCAGATCACCAGGCTGGGCCACAGCAACGCGTGGCAGGGGATGGCTGCGGCCCACTCTGGTGGTCATGGGGGTTCTATGTGGGAGGTTTGGTCTAATTCTATTGTTGGTGGGGTTCAGAATGCTCTGTGATTCTAGGTGAACTATAAATCCCAGCAACTGCAACTCCCAAATGTCAAGATTCTATTTTCCCCAAACTCCACCAGTGTTCACATTTGGGCATATTGAGTATTCGTGTAGAGTTTGGTCCAGATCCATCATTGTTAGTGTCCACAGTGGTCTCTGGATGTAGGTGAACTACAACTCCCAAACTCAACATCAATGCCCACCAAACCCTCCTAGTATTTTCTGTTGGTCATGGGAGTCCTGTGTGCCAAGTTTGATTCAATTCCATCATTGGTTGTTTCGGGCTAAGGGCCATGTTCTAGAGGCATTTCTCCTGACGTTTCGCCTCCACCTATGGCAAGCATCCTCAGAGATACTGAACATGGCCCTATAGCCCGAAAAAACCCACAAGAACCTAGTGATTCCAGCCATGAAAACCTTTGACAATACATTGGTTCAATTCCATCGTTGGTGGAGTTCAGAATGCTCTTTGATTGTAGGTGAACTATAAATCCCAACAACTACAACTCCCAAATGACAAAATCAATTTTTTGTGTGTGAAGGACATAGATTGGGTTGTTAGGTGTCTTGTGTCCAAATTTTGTATCGATTTGCCCAGTAGTTTTTGAGTTCTGTTAATCCCACAAACGAACATTACATTTTTTTATTTATATAGATATATATATTGGAGCTCCAGGTGGTGCAGTGGGTTAAACCGTTGAGCTACTGAACTTGTTGACTGAAAGGTCGCAGGTTCGAATCTGGGGAACAGCGTGAGTTTCCGCTATCTGCCTCAGATTCTGCCAACCTAGCAGTTCGAAAACATGTAAATGTGAGTAGATCAATAGATACCGCTAAGGCGGGAAGGTAACGGCTCTCCATGCAGTCATGCCAGCCACATGACCTTGGAGGTGTCTATGGACAATGCCGGCTCTTTGTCTTAGAAATGGAGACGAGCAGGGGCGGCTCAACCCATTACGCAAAGTAAGCAGTCGCAGTACAGTTAATTTTGCCCAGGGGTGCTCTTGAGGCGCTCATGGGGGAAAATAGACCTTGACATATGTGAGTTGTAGTTATTGGGATGTATAGTTCACCTAAAATCAAAGAGCATTCTGAACTCCACCAATGATGGAATTGAACCAAATATGGCACACAGAACTCCCATGACGGACAGAAAATATATATCAATGATTGGTTTGGGGGGGGGGTGCAAAATACTGTTTGTTTACCATTGAAAATTACTTAGGGCTGCCTCTGGAGACGAGCACCACCTCCCAGAGTCGGACATGACTGGACTTAATGCCAGGGGAAAACCTTTACCTTTACCTATGTATGTATATGTATACTCCACTTGCTTCATATCAACAGAACCTCTGAAGATGCCAACCATGGTTGCAGGTGAAACATCAGGAGAGAATGCTGCTGGAACATGGCTATACAGCACGAAAAACTCACACAACCCAGTGATTCCAGCCACTAATGCCTTCTACAACACACACTAGGATTGCTATGAATGGGAACCTTTTAAAAGTGTGTGCAAAGCTCTATCTGGTGGTTATATGCACACATTGCAGTTATTCTAAGGAGGAGGAAAAAAGAGAAGGAAGTTGTCTATCAGCACCCCACCCCTCCTATTATCACCTTTTTATTTTATTTATTTATTTCTCACACTTCTATCCCGCCCTTCTCCACCCGGGGGCGGGGGGGGGGGGGGGGGGGGGGGGGGGACTCAGGGTGGCTTACAAAAGCGAGGCACAATTCGATGCCCGCATCACAAACAGCAAAGGACAATAACAACAGTTAACACAATAAATTTTTAGCAATAACAGTTAACAGAATTCAATAATTATTATCGGCAGAAACAACCATAAAACCAATAAAAGCAATAAAATCAATACAAACCTCATTAATGGTCAGCGTTACAGGGTCTCATAGTTCAAGTTCCAGTTTCCACTAAATTGTCGGTCCTATCCATCTGGTTTCCATATCTCATTGTCAGGGTGTCCAAAGGCCTGGTCCCACAACCACGTCTTTACCTTCCTCCTGAAGGCAAGGAGGGATGTTGATGCCCTGATCTCCCCCGGGAGAGAGTTCCACAGGTGGGGGGCCACCACTGAGAAGGCCCTGCTCCTCGTCCCCATCAGCCTCACTTGTGATAGTGGTGGGGTCGAGAGCAGGGCCTCCCCAGATGATCTCAGATTCCGTGGTGGGACYTAGAGGGAGATACGTTCGGACAGATACGCTGGATCGGAACCGTAAAGGGTTTTGTAGGTCAAAACCAGCACCTTGAATTGTGCTCGGAACTGAATCGGCAGCCAGTGGAGCTGACATAGCAGGGGGGTGGTGTGCTCCCTGTATGTCGCTCCGGTGAGCAATCTGGCTGCCGCTCGCTGGACCAGCTGAAGTTTCCGAACAGTCTTCAAGGGCAACCKCACGTAGAGTGCGTTGCAGTAGTCTATACGGGATGTGACAAGAGCGTGGACCACTGTGGCCAGATCAGACTTCCCGAGGTACGGGCGCWTTAATTAGACAATTAAAACAATTAAAACAATCCATATCACAGTCCCTAAAAACAATCTAGTGCTCAGCGTTTATAATCTRGCTGAATTGTGCTCGGAACTGGATCGGCAGCCAGTGGAGCTGACATAACAGAGGGGTGGTATGCTCCCTGTATSACGCTCCGYTGAGTAATCTAGCTGCCGCTCGCTGGACTAATTGAAGTTTCSAAACAGTTTTCAAAGGCAACCCCACGTAGAGTGCGTTGCAGTAATCTATTAGGGATGTAATGAGAGCGTGGACCACTGTGGCCAGATCAGACTTCCCAAGTTTTAATTGTGCAAAAGCTCTCCTGGCCACCACCGAAACCTGGGGTTCCAGGCTCAGCGATGAGTCCAGGATCACTCCCAAGCTGCGAACCTGCGTCTTCAGGGGGAGTGTAACACATCCCTCTCCTTCGTTACTACTACTATTACTACTAGTATGCATAAGATGATGCACAGGGGCCAAATGCAGCCCAAATGCACAACATTTCTAGAAACCCTTATTTTCTCTTTCATTCCAGAAAAACCAATCAAATAGAGCAGGAAAAAATGAACACATTGGTTTGTTTCAGAAAACAATATTGTATTTTCCCCGGAAGCCCTTTGCCTATATTCCATCGCAAACTGTTCCACAAACAATGCTGGTAAAAGGTATACCAATCCATGGCCGTGTCAGTCCCACTTTGGGAAGCATCGTATCATATACTGGATTCTCTTCACTCCAAATGTGGTCTGCCTTAATGTAATTACATTCACTTAACTTCACGAGCGCCCGCATTGTTTTTTACTGTGTTTTCTATAAGTCACAGTGCTTAGCATTGGCTTCTTTTGCGTGTGCTTCCCGAAACTGTGAAATCAGCTTGAAGGATGTTGGAAGGGGCCCGGGTTTCTTGGAAGGGCTGCTGCCCACCGACAAAAAGGGTGAAAGTGCCCGGCTCCAACTGCCATTCCCCAGCCCATACGGCTCTCTGGCTGAAGGAAAGCAGGAAGGGCACCTTGACGGCTTGTCCCTGGGGCACCAGGACCCTCTGGAAGCCAACCAGCTGCCAACGGGGGACTGGTACTGATGCCTTTCCCCAACGGAGGTAGAGCTGCACCACCTGCAGAGACAAAAAAATCTATTAGGAAGAGAAAGTAGCAAGCTAATGCCTCCTTGGAAGCCATTCCTGGCCTCCAACCAAATATAGGACAGTGCAGACGCCAGAAGTAAGCAATAAGGTAAACAAAACAAGGATGGCCCATCAACTCAGTCTTCAACAATACACAAAGCAAAGGTGGTCCATCAACTAAGTCAATTAAGACTCATAGAATCATAGAATCATAGAATCAAAGAGTTGGAAGAGACCTCATGAGCCATCCAGTCCAACCCCTTGCCAAGAAGCAGGAATATTGCATTCAAATCACCCCTGACAGATGGCCATCCAGCCTCTGTTTAAAAGCTTCCAAAGAAGGAGCCTCCACCACACTCCGGGGCAGAGAGTTCCACTGCTGAACGGCTCTCACAGTCAGGAAGTTCTTCCTCATGTTCAGATGGAATCTCCTCTCTGGTAGTTTGAAGCCATTGTTCTGCGTCCTAGTCTCCAAGGAAGCAGAAAACAAGCTTGCTCCCTCCTCCCTGTGGCTTCCTCTCACATATTTATACATGGCTATCATATCTCCTCTCAGCCTTCTCTTCTGAGGCTAAACATGCCCAGCTCCTTAAGCCGCTCCTCATAGGGCTTGTTCTCCAGACCCTTGATCATTTTAGTCGCCTCCTCTGGACACATTCCAGCTTGTCAATATCTCTCTTGAATTGTGATGTCCAGAATTGGACACAATATTCAAAGTGTGGTCTAACCAAGGCAGAATAGAGCATGGGGAGCAGGACTTCCCTGAATCTAGACACTAGGCTCCTATTGATGCAGGCCAAAAACCCATTGGCTTTTTTTGCCACCACATCACATTGTTGGCTCATGTTTAACTTGTTGTCCACGACCGTACCTTTGAAGTCGGATCTGGCCAGGGTGGTCCATGCTTAGTCACCTCCAGATTGGATTACTGTAATGCACTCTACGTGGGGCTGCCCTTGAAAACGGCCAGGGAATTTCAATTGGTACAACGGGCCGCAGCCAGGTGCTTCTTACAGAGAGCGGTCAACCCTCCTGTTTAAGGAGCTCCACTGGCTGCCGTTCATTTTCCGGTCCCAATTCAAGGTGCAGGTTCTTACCTACAAAGCCCTGAACGGTTTGAGACCCGCCTATCTGCGTGACCGCATTTCTGTGTACGAACTCACACGATCTCTTCGATCATCTGGAGAGGCCCTGCTCGCGCTCCCACCTCCTTTGCAGGCGTGATTGGTGGGGACAAGGAAGATGGTGTTCCTATGAGTATCTCTGTAGATCTTAGAAAACTATTTCTAGATTTAAGTCGTTGACGTGGTGGCTGATACCCAAACAGGGGATGAGCTGGAGATGTCTCTGCCTTGGTCCTTTCACTACTTCCCTTTCACTACTTCGCTGCTACTTCCCGGCGGATGTCAGGTGGTGCAATACCGGCTAAGCAGTGTAATTTCTCCAGTGGTGTAGGGCGCAGTCATCCCATGATAATGCGGCATGGCTCATTAAGAGCCACATCTACTGTTTTAGCGTGGTGAGATGTATTCCACACTGGGCATGCGTACTCAGCAGCAGAATAGCAAAGCATAAGGGCAGATGTCTTCATGTCTTCATGATATGCAACTTCCCCTAGATGGGAGATGCTGAGATATAGTGGCGGATCATTGGGCTACTGACTGTGTTCTTTGACGACTTTGGGCAATGATATAAACATTCAGGAAAAATGCCAAAAGACTTGGTTTTGCATGTGGTTTCCACCCACTTCAATCATCAGAACCTACTTAATGTATCTGACTTTGTTTCCAACCCTTTATTTCCTCTTTGCTTTCTACCATCTTGAGAAATGTACGTAAGGAAGCAACCAAACCACCTCACCTCCTCGCCATCTCTGGAGCCAATGTTCTTCACCACCACCGAGACAGTTAGGTTTTCGCAAATGGGCAGAACATCAGCACCTAGTATCAAATCGCTGTACTGAAAGGTGGTAAACGAGAGACCATAGCCAAATGGGTACAGCGGAGCCTCGTCCCCATAGTAGCGGTATGTGCGTCCAGCCATTGTGTAGTTCTCCATGGGTGGCACCTGTGGGAATGGGCACATATATATAACATATATATATACACACAGATACATACATATATCAGTATATACTCGAGTATAAGCCAACCTGAATATAAGCCGAGGCATCTAATTTTACCACAAAGAAATGGGAAAATGGATTGCCTCGAGTATAAGTCGAGGGTGGGAAATGCAGCAGCTACTGGTAAATTTCAAAATAAAAATAGATACCAATACAATTACATTAATTGAAGCAGGCCCGTAGCCAGGATTTTGTTTCGGGTGGGGTGGGGGGGGGCTGAATTTTTTTCAGGGGGGGTTGGGGGGGGGGGCTGAGTCTGAGTGAAAGAGGGTCTAGCCTAGCAAACCTTTTGTATCAATACCCCAATACCCCCATGCATATGGGATATATTGAGTATGGTGATCAGATCATGATATGAATAAACATAACAGTTTAAATAATGCACCAGTAAGGCCTTTTCGCGAACCACCATGAGAATTTCGGGGGGGGGGGGGTTGAAGCCCCCCCCCCCCCGGCTACATGCCTGAATTGAAGCATCAGTAGGTTAAATGTTTTCGAATATTTACATAAAACTGTAATTTAAGATAAGACTGCCCAACTCTGATTAAACCATTATTCTGACCTTCTTCAATGTAAATGTGTTTACGTATCCTTCCAATAATACTAATAGAGTAAAATAATAAATGTAATAATAATAATAACAATAATAAATGGAAATGTAATAATAGCAGTAATAATAGTGTAAATAATAAATGTGATAATAACAATAACAACAGAGTAAAATAATGAAAATCTTGGCCGAGTATAAGCCGAGAGAGACTTTTTCAGCCTAAAAAAGGGTATACTCGAGTATATACAGTATATATAACATATATATATATATATATATACACATACACATACATACATTAACAGATTACAGCAGGGGTCCTCAAACTTTTTAAACAGAGGGCCAGGTCACAGTCCCTCAAACTGTTGGAAGGCTGGATTATAATTTGGAAAAAACATGAATGAATTCCTGTGCACTCTGCACATATCTTATTTGTAGTGCAAAAACACTTTAAAACAATACAATAATTAAAACAAGGAAGAATTTTACAAACTTATTAGTATTTCAATGGGAAGTGTGGGCTTGCTTTTGGCTGATGAGATAGGATTGTTGTTGTTGTGTGCTTTCAAGTGGTTTCAGACTTAGGTTGACCCTGAGCGAGGGCCGGGTAAATGACCTTGGAGGGCCGTATCGGGCCCCCGGGCCTTAGTTTGAGGATCCCTGCATTACAGTGTAAACAGAACACAAAACAACGAACATTTTACAAGCGCATAACCCCACCATCAAGGCCTGAACAAGTATCATTTCCTTTGCCATTAATTCATGAGTCAACCAGTAAACAAATGTCATATCCAAAATTCTTTCCCTTATCACTCTCTAAAATATATTTGATGAAATCCAACCAGTATGAATCAAATTCTGATCTATTAGCCCCCCCCCCCGCCGATATCTCATTTCCATTGATAGTTTATCATTTAAGATGACATTCCATATCTGCCAATATCATGCTTCCAGTGCAAGATTGGTTACTATCTTCCAACTCCTTGCAATTATAAGTCTTGCCACTGTGAATAAAATAATAATCATCGTCTCTCTCTCTTTTCATTTCTAAGTTCAGCTTTGTGGCATCCATTAGTAATGGTAACCTAGCATCTGGGGCAATGTTTAATCCTGTAATGCAGGGATCCTCAAACTAAGGCCTGAGGGCCGAATACGGTCCTTCAAGGTCATTTACTTGGCCCTCGCTCAGGGTCAACCTAAGTCTGAAATGACTTGAAAGCACACAACAACAACAACAACAACAACAACAAGCAGGCCCACATTTCCCATTGAAATACTAATAAGTTTATATTTGTTAAAATTGTTCTTCATTTTAATTATTGTATTGTTTTTAAGTGTTTTTTGCACTACAAATAAGATATGTGTAGTGTGCATAGGAATTCATTCATTTTTTTTCCAATTATAATCCGGCCCTCCAACAGTTTGAGGGGCTGTGATCTGGCCCTCTGTTTAAAAAGTTTGAGGACCCTTGCTGTAATGTGACTTATTTCCATAAATATATTGTTCCAAAAACTCTTCAGCTGGGGGCATACCCACCATAAATGAAAATATGTCCCTTTGTCCAGCAGAAGTTACTTTGCTTCCTATCCATCTGGTATAATTTAACCATCTCCATACCACTTTATACATGTTTTCTTTTAATCTTATTGACAGGACCCTCACCCAAGTGTAAGCCGAGGGGGGCTTTTTTAGCCTAAAAAAAGGGCTGTAAGCCTAGCCTTATATTCAAGTATATACAAGTAGTTTGTACGGAGCCCCTGGTGGCGCAGTGGGTTAAACCCCTGTGCCGGCAGGACTGAAGACCGACAGGTCGTAGGTTTGAATCCGGGAAGAGGCAGATGAGCTCCCTCTATCAACTCCAGCTCCTCATGCGGGGACATGAGAGAAGCCTCCCACAAGGATGGTAAAAACATCAAATCATCTGGGTGTCCCCTGGGCAACGTCCTTGCAGACGGCCAATTCTCTCACACCAGAAGCGACTTGCAGTTTCTCAAGTCACTCCTGACACGACAAAAAAAGAGGCAGTTTGTAAATGCTACCTGTATTTGGGGAGGGAGGGATTGTAGATGAGAAAAAAACTTTAAAATTATAATTTATGGCTGCACTAAAATATTGCATATATTGTGAAAAATTAATGAAAAATATATTCAAGTTTTACAAAGAGAAGGGAAAGCAACAGAAAAGAAAAACTATCATTTTAAAGTACTGATTATATTTCAGTTCCATTTCAGTGCTGATCTATATGATTTTAATTGCATTCCATTTTAATTTGCAGTCTTTCTTGAGCCCAACTTCTGGGGAAAAGGTGGGGATAAAAACATTAGTAATACCAATATTTGAATGAATGAATTGTTTATTGTACTAGCCATAGGCCATGACATCAGTAATACACTAACTTTATAAACACTTTCCAATATAAACCTTAAAACGTAACAAGAATTAAAACTAAAACAAGTTCTTTAAAATTATGAAAGCAGAAACATGACAATAACAGTGTCTGCTTTGAGTCATTCCAAACCGTTTCCATTTCTGACCCCCAGTATGGATTTTGCTACTTTGGCTCTGATCTTTTGGGCTGTGATTGCGAATGTGGCAACCTTTAGTGTTATATTTTTAGAATGATCTGCTAGCAAGTCGCAGATCACCGCAGATTGTTGCCGTGATGCCCTTTCTTCCAAGAGTGATCCTAGGATATTTTTCCTAGGGTCATTGTACAAGGGGCAACGTAGCAAATAGTGTGTTAGGTCTTCTATTTCCCCTGTGCCACAAATGCAAAGTCGTTGGGCATGGGGGATCCCTCTGTATCTTCCCTCTAGCCAGTTTGATGGCATTGTTTGGAATCGCAGGGCTGTGAATGCTTTCCTCAGGACTGCTGACGTTAGGTCTTGAAGATATTGTTGACGATATTGGTCACTTTTTAGCCGAGGATACCAGGTAGAGAAACCTTGCAGTTTGCTAATCTGCAAGTTGTCAGCTGCAATACCAATACTATATTCCCCAGAAAGCAGATAACATTTTTTCCTTGGAAATCTATAACAATACTGGATGGGTTCTTACCTGGTTCATACTTGCTGGCCAGGTAGCAGGGAGCCTGCCTGCTGGGTTTGTCCCATCCGCTCCCACCAACACTTTGGCAATAGCCAGACCAGTGGCTTGAGCAGGGAAGAAACAGGCCAAAATGGCTCCCACGCCATCGTTTGCCTTGGCCCAGCTCACATCAAGTGGGCCGGCGTTGAACAGGAGCAGAATCACCGGCCGGCCAGCGGCTGAAACAAAATCCCAAAGACATCTTTATGGAAGAGGCTGAATCACTACTGACACTCTGGCAGCAACATGCTCACGGACCCAGTCTTTGGGCAGAATTAAGAGTTCAAGTTGCATTTTTCCCAAAAGAGGAGACTCTTCCATCCCTGATGTTCAGTGGGCCCTCCCTCTTTCCTAACCTTTGAAAGGACTTCATAAGATTTGCACAGAAGCATGGAACTGCACAGGCAGAGTACCATGCTCCACATACTTGGATGCAGGTTATTTATTGACTCGCAAAGCTGGCCATAGTCAAGGAAGTCCATATTGACAGCTCCAGTGCAAAGTGGGGAAGGATCCTAACTCGAGAAGATGATATTCCCTATTCCACCTAACCTCAATCAGACCACTGATGTGACTGGGAAAAGATGGTTGATCATCTGGGGACTTTGCTCAAAGTCACCATGATTTCCATGGCCAAGCAAGTATAGGGGCTCCAGAGTCATAGTTCAACGCTCCAATTCCCACATCCTTATTATTGTTGTTGCTGTTATTATTATTATCATCACACCACTTTCCTCTCTTCATCCAGACCCAAACCTGCTCTCACTATTAAAAGCAGTGCACTTTGAAATCTTGCAACATACAAATATTAAAATAGAACTGAACCTCAATGGCTCACTTTTGATGTGCAAGGAAGAACCCCCCCCCCAACACTATCCTGGGAAGCAGAAATACTATAATACCAAAACCAAACAACTAACTATTTCCCATAATAGCCCAAATTTGTTTAACTGCCCTGCTCTGGTTCTAGAAGAGAAAACACAAGGTCATCCAGTAAGTTTCATGGCTGAGTTGGGATCCTAAACTTGGTCTCCAAGTAGTCCAATGACCCTAAGCACTACATCACACTGCCTTTCAATTCCATTATCTGAATTATCTAAAAAGTTTCATCTATGCTGACGATTGTGCCATCACCGCTCAAACAGGGAGCTCTGAAATGGTTGAACAGGAGCTCTCCAAAGCTTTAGATGCTCTTACTGCCCATTGCAGGGAAAACCAGCTGATTCCTAATCCATCTAAAATGCAGATGTGTGCTTTTCACCTTAAGAACAGACAAGCATCTCAAGCTCTGAGGATTACCTGGGAAGGAATCCCACTGGAGCATAGCTGTACACCCAAATACTTGGGAGTCACTCTGACTTATAAGAAGCACTGCTCAACTATCAAGCAAAATGTGGGTGCTAGAAATAACATCGTACGAAAGCTGACTGGCATAAGCTGGGGATCACAACCAGACACAGTGAAGACATCTGCCCTTGCACTTTGCTACTATGCTGCTGAATATGCATGTCCAGTATGGAATACATATCACCACATTAAAACAGTGGATGTGGCTCTAAATGAGACATGGCGCATTATCACAGGATGTCTACACCCTACAACACTGCAGCAATTACACTACTTAGTTGGTATCCGCCAGGAAAGCGGAATGTTGGTGGACAGGAAAAGAGATTTAAAGATGGGCTCAAAGCCAACCTTAAAAACTCTGGCATAGACACTGAGAACTGGGAAGCCCTGGCCCTTGAGCGCTCCAGCTGGAGGTCAGCTGTGACCAGCAGTGCTGCAGAATTTGAAGAGGCACGAATGGAGGGTGAAAGAGAGAAACGTGTCAACAGGAAGGCGCGTCAAGCCAATCCCGACCGAGACCGCCTTCCATCTGGAAACCAATGCCCTCACTGCGGGAGAAGATGCAGGTCAAGAATAGGGCTCCACAGCCACCTACGGACCCACAAGAATACTGATCCTGGAAGACTATCCTACTCGGCCAACGAGGGATCGCCTAAGTAAGTAAAGTAAGTAAGCAGCCTGCAGTGAAAGGACCAAGGCATTGACATTTTCGGTCCATGCTCAGCTCTGATATCAGCCAGCACACCAACACCTTAAATCAAGAAATAGTTTTCTAAGATTTACAGAGATACTCACAGGAACACCTCAGCAAGCAAGAGTCCAAAAGTGGCAGGCTAAAACCCAGCACTTCAATCAATGGCTGAGACCAGATGAGAAACTCCCTCCTGGGCGACCTGGAAGTTACTGAACAGGCTGTGCCCTGGCACCGTGAGATGCAGAGCTAACCTTAAGAAATGGAGCTACAAAGTGGAGTCCATGACATGTGAGTGTGGAGAAGAGCAAACCACAGACCACCTACTACAATGCAACCTGAGCCCTGCCACATGCACAATGGAGGATCTTCTCACAGAGATACCAGAGGCACTCCAAGTGGCTAGCGTCTGGTCAAAGGACATTTAGCATAATGCTAAGTTCTTTTTAAAAACAAACAAACAAACAAAACTTTGTGTTTTTAAATGCACTTTAACCATACCCTCAACTAGTTTCTGACACGATAAATAAAATAAAAACTGGGCGGTTGTAGGTTTTTTCGGGCTATATGGCCATGTTCTAGAGGCATTCTCTCCTGACATTTCGCCTGCATCTATGGCAAGCATCCTCAGAGGTAGTGAGGTCTGTTGGAACTAGGGAAAGGGGTTTATATATCTGTGGAATGACCAGGGTGGGACAAAGGACTCTTGTCTGCTGGAGCTAGGTGTGAATGTTTCAACTGACCACCTTGATTAGCATATAATGGCCTGACAGTGCCTGGAGCAAACTTTTGTTCAGAGGTGATTAGATGTCCTTGTTTGTTTCCTCTCTGTTGTTTTGCTGTTGTAATTTTAGAGTTTTTAATACTGGTAGCCAGATTTTGTTCATTTTCATGGTTTCCTCCTTTCTGTTGAAATTGTCCACATGCTTGTGGTTTTCAGTGGCTTCTCTGTGTAGTCTGACATGGTGGTTGTGAGAGTGGTCCAGCATTTCTGTGTTCTCAAATAATATGCTGTGTCCAGGTTGGTTCATCAGGTGCTCTGCTATGGCTGACTTCTCTGGTTGAAGTAGTCTGCAGTGCCTTTTATGCCCCTTGATTCGTGTTTGGGCAATACTGCATTTGGTGGCCCCCGGTGGCGCAGTGGGTTAAAGCACTGAGCTGCTGAGCTTGTTGATCGAAAGGTTGCAGGTTCGATTCCGGGGAGCGGCGTGAGCTTCCTCTGTCAGCCCTAGCTTCTGCCAACCTAGCAGTTCGAAAACATGCAAATATGAGTAGATCAATAGGTACCGGGAAGGTAACGGCGCTCCATGCAGTCATGCCGGCCACATGACCTTGGAGGTGTCTACGGACAACACTGGCTCTTCGGCTTAGAAATGGAGATGAGCACCACACCCCAGAGTCAGACATGACTGGACTTAATGTCAGGGGACTACCTTTACCTTTACCTATGTAGACTTGTCCACAGCTGCATGGTATATCTAATCACCTCTCAACATCTTATCACCTCTCAACAAATCTAATCTAATCACCTCTCAACAAAAGATTGCCCCAGGCACTGCCAGGCCATCAAATGCTAATCAAGGTGGTCAGTTGAAACATTCACACCTAGCTCCAGCAGACAAGAGTCCTTTGTCCCACCCTGGTCATTCCACAGATATATAAACCCTTTTTCCTAGTTCCAACAGACCTCACTACCTCTGAGGATGCTTGCCATAGATGCAGGCAAAATGTCAGGAGATAATGCCTCTAGAACATGGCCATATAGCCTGAAAAAACCCTACAACAACCCAGTGATTCCGGCCATGAGAGCCTTCGACAATACAAAATAAATACTATCTAAAAAATTAAAACTTAAAGCACAAGTTAGGGATGGAACTTATCAGAGGAGGAGAAGTTCTTCCATCCAGACTCTTGCGCCCAAAGGGAATTGTCCATACCTGGCCAGAGCTCTGTGGCTAAGCATTCCTCGCTGCCCACCAACTTCAGGTTTTGTCACAAAGCATCCAGGACATGGCAAGCTTAGTGGCTACTTTCTGTGGCTGCCCTTTTGCAAGCTCTGCCCTATATTCTACCTTTCCAATGGCAGCTCCCCAAATACTTCCTTGGGGTAAATAACCACCACTGAAACTCACCCCAAGCCACGGCATCCTGCAGAAGCTCGAGCTGGTGCCCAGGCAAAGCCAGGTCTGTCCGGTCCAAGCCTTCACTCTCAAGGTCAGTTCCTGATCAAAAGGGGACAAAGTTGGGTAAGAAAAGCTATTCAGCTTTTGCCTCAGGCAAAATTATGAAATTATAAGTCAAGAGGGGGAATATGTCATGATAAAATATGCTGTATGGTTTGAGTGAGATGGTATGAAAGGCGTACGAATGCGGCCCAATTGGGCTGAAGATACCATTCTAAGGAATGAGGCCTGGAAAACTACAAGACAGAGGAGAAGAACTCATGGACTAATGAAAAATTGCTGATTTATTTATTTATCATATCAGGAGCAACCAGACATTTGTATTACATTTTTATCAAAAACAAAACAAACAGACAAAATACAGAATTTTCAAGCTTGGTAGTTGATTAAATGTCCTTTGACCAGTATCTGGCCACTTGGAGTGCCTCTGGT